GATTAATACATGTCAGAGCTGATGAATGTTAGAGATTACCTAGGTCAATCTCCAAATCCTCCAAAGATGTGTGGCATCTCCAGATCATTGCAGAGCCAGGCCCTTGCCAGCACACCCCTGTCACTCATCCTTCAATCATCCATTCAATAGTGACTGAGAATCAACTCATGTCAGGGGCCAAGAAAGGACCATGAGCAAGACACAGCCCTGCTTTCATGAAGTTTTCGGCCTAGCAGGAAATCACATAAGAACTGACAATCTGATCAATGTTGCAGAGGGTGAATGCAGGTGCTCTGGGAGCTGATGGAAGGGGTAGGGAAGACTCCCCTAAACAAGGGGTATTAGACATGAAGGTGAAATGATGGGGAGCTGGTGGAACAAGGGGTAGGGAGAAGAGCTCCCCAGGCAGGAGGAACAGCATAGATAAAGTCTTGAATCGGGGGGAAATGTATAGTGTCAGGCACTAAAAGTCCAGAATGGCTGGAAGATTACAGTGAGGAGAAACATACGGGACCTTTATGGAAGTTCCTGGAATCTTGGGCCTGCTGGTAGTGAGAAACTATTGAAATTTTTTAAGGAGGGTGTGGTGTTTTCTTTCTTTTCTTTTTTTTTTAAGTAACATTTTCTGCTGTAGGAAGGATAGATTAGAAGGAATGCAGAAAGACCCTTTGGGTGCATAGGACAGGCAGAGGTGGAAAATTTGACAAATCAACGTAGAAAAGGATGGCAGATTCAATTAAGGAGTGACAGTTGAGACAGAAAGTAGAGTAAACATCACTCTGAGAACTTGATTCAACTTGACCATTCTCCTGAGAGGATTTCCTGGTGGCTCAGATGGTAAAGAATGAGGGAGACCTGGGTTTGATCCCTGGGTTGGGAAGATCTCCTGGAGGAGGAAGTGATAACCCACTCCAGTATTCTCGCCTGGAAAATTCCATGGACAGAGGAGCCTGGAGGGATACAGTCCATAGAGTCACAAAGAGACACAACTTAGCAGCTGAGTAGCAACTGAGTGCACAGGCTCGGTGTTTGTTCTAACTGAGATTACTGAGAGTGACGTAACCAGTTTTACATCTACCTAGAGGAGATTTGTCTCAAAGAACAAAATTCACAATGTAACTCTTTCTAAAGTATAGCTCTCAGTATATGTGTTTTAAAAAAAAAAACTACCATATTTTTAGAGTGGAGGTTGGCAAACTTCTGTAAAGATCCAGAGAGTAAATATTTTATCTTTGCCGTATGACATCTGTTCCATCTACTCAGTTCAGTCATTCTATCCAAGAAGCACCACAGATAAAAGGTACATAAAGAGCCTGTCTCAATAAAGCATTACTTATAGACAAGGAAATCTGAATGAATATAATTTTCATGCTGAAAATATTATTTTTAAGAATTATTTTCAACCATTTAAAGATATAAAAACCATTTTTAGCTTTCAGGTCCTACCAGCACAATCTGGGAGCAGAATTTGGTTCATGGGATGTAAGATGCATGGCCTATTCTATCCAGTTAGAGTGGAATCTCCCACCTGTAGAGACCACCATTCCAAAACAGATTGATTGTACTAGCCATGTGCTGAAACTATAAAACTTATTATAAAAAATCAAACACCATACTACCCAAAGCTGCCTGAGGTGTGAGGGGACAAAGTCCTTCCCCGGGGATGCTCCGTCCCCTGTCCCCTGCCCTGCTCAGGCATGGTCACCTTGTTACTGCCAAAATCTCGCCTTTCTCTACCCACCACATTAAAAAATAAGGAGATGGAATTTTGGAGGAAGTAGATGGCTTTACTTCACAGCTGGCCAAAGGGGCACGCAGTGGGCTAGCACCCCAGGAACAGTGCCCTGTCCCCACCTGGGGGAACTGAGAGAATGTATACAGCCTGGGTCTCCTGGGTCCCTCAGCCTGCCACCTTCCTTCCGAGATGCAAACAGCTCCAAGGGGTGACTTGCTACAAGAGGGTGCTGGGAGAGCAAAAATGTGGTACAGGATGAAAATTACATAGAATTAGGGGACTTCTGGTTACAGACACTACAGGCTAGTAACAAAACTAGGAGTGATAAACTCTTTGACGACTGCTCATGTTTCTTCTCTAGTCTCTTCGCTGTTTACTTTCCTTGTTCTCAGGAGAGGAAAAGCTTCTTTTCTGTTTTTGCTGCAACAACCTCATCTGTGCGTCCCCAGCCTCCACCAGGGGGTGAAGCTGCCCTGTCTGGTACCCACTTTCCTGCTGCGCGCTGGGCGCCCATCGAGTTCTGAGCAGCAATTACTCTCTGGGCACAGTTCCTCACCCATCAAGTCACCAGTACCTAGTGAGGCTCCCAGAGGGACAGAAGCCGCCTTTCCAGCCCCAGCCCTGAGAGTCTGACTCTCTGACTGCTGATGACCAGCCGTGGCGAGCAGTGTTCTGTGCGCCGCGCACCCAAAGGGAGTCGGGACTGAGACCTGCCCTTCAGGCTCACCGCCAACAGTGTGGGTGACGGTGGTGTTTCAAATCACCCACCGTCTTATTTTGGCAGCGGAAAGAACGCCTTCTACAAAGCACTTATAAAGAACGTTTCTTCGGCCCAGGGTGGGAGATCTGGGCCCTTTCACACCAGAGACATGGATCAAGAAGAGGCGCCTGTGCAGTTAATCCCAAGTCGTAGTTTCGGGGCCGCCCCTGCGCTCCGCGAGCAGACGGTGAAGCGGCCTCGCGCCGTCTACCCCGGCCCTCGGGCTGCAGACGGTGCCGCCGGCGAAGCCAGGAGAGGAGGCGGCCCCGTGTCTCCGCCCGACGGCGCCTCCGGCGGCCGCGTCTACCCGACTGGGCTTTCGGCTCGGCCGGCCGCTCCGGGAAGCCGCGCCCGCGGGCTAGGCGACTCGCACGTAAGGCCTGGGGCCGGGCGGGATCCGGAGTCCCGTCCCCGCAGGAGCTCCGGGTCCCTGGCCGCCGCGGCGGGCGCGGGAACCCGGCAGCCGGGTGCGCCGCGAGAAGCCGGGAGGAGGCGAGGAGAGAGCCGGGCGGCCTCCGGTCCCCGGAGACGGTCCCAATCCACCGCGGGCCGGGAAGGAGGACCCCGGGGCCCCGCCGGCGGCACAGCGGCTCATCTGCCGGGCTAAGGACTTCCGATCGAATGGGCTCGGCCCCGAGGGAAGAAACTGCACCCGCTACCCGCACGCGGACACCGACGGGGCCGCGCGTCCCCCGCCCGCTCGCCTCCCCGGGCCCGTCCTGGGGCCTCGGCCGCCGCCGCGGGAACGTGCGGGCGGAGGACCGGGAGAACCGGTGCGCGGCCTGTCCCCGAGCTCGGTCGCGGGGCCCAGGGCTCAGACGTGCGGGCGCCCGGGCCTCGGCCGCCGCCGCGGGAACGTGAGGGCGGAGGACCGGGAGAACCAGTGCGCGGCCTGTCCCCGAGCTCGGTCGCGGGGCCCAGGGCTCAGAGGTGCGGGTGCCCGGGCCTCCCCCGCAGAGGACCCGAGCGGGAACCTCCGGGGCTGGGGATCACCGAGGGGCGGGCCGGGAGAAGCCCCCGGGGCTCCCGGCTCAGCGGAGGTGCTCCGTTTCTCACGTGCTTCCTGATCTTAGCGGCCCGGACCGCCCTCTGCAGTCCCTGCCACGCTGCTGTTAAAACGTGGTTTTGTGTTGAATGGACGCTACAGATCAGGACACAACGCGGTAACTGAGAGTTAAAGACGGTGGGGAACTTGCACAAATAGGTGGTGAGAAGCCTCAGCATCTCAGGGACCCCCACACCCGCAGCCACATCCTGCCCACCCAGCTCCCGCCCTAGTGTCTGGGGCTCCTCCTGCCTGAACCCTCAGCTGGCCTCGCTGTCCGCTGGATTCCGGGCCTGCAGTCCACCGGACCCTCGGGGCTCAGCCCTGTCTGTGCGGACCCCACACACCCTCCCCGACCTCACGCTTCAGGACACGGCCCTGACAGGTGTCACCCAAATACAGTCTGATCATTGTTTCTTGCTGGTGAAAAATTAG